CTAGATAATTAGTATTAATTTAGTTCAGCTTCCTATAAATTCGTTGTTTTGCCGTTTAATTAAAGAGCTTGTTTAATGAGTAAAGGAGGCTCAATTTGGATTTCCCAGTATCAATATTTTTACATCCTGCTTGTTAATCTAATTCCTTTTAAATTTCCTAGTGGTCCCTTTGAAATAAAATATGAAGATGAGAGATTAAGAACATCCAAAGTTACTTTCAGCTGGCAGTTTTTTAAAAATAAATTTTCACTCCTGAATTTGCTGTTTACATAACCTAAGCTGTAGCTGTTCCCACACATTCACCCTCACATATTCTTGTGCCAGTGTCCACAGGTGTGTACATGTATACTTTATGACAACATTTCTAACTTGTACATATCGGTCCTCTTCTGCTGTTGGACTGGAATTTGGGCTCGGACATCTTCCAGATAACTCAGATCTATGAAAGAAATTTAAGACAGTTGCAATAATGGAGGTGCAGAGGCCTCATGGTTAGCGCACTCATCTCCAGATTGAGTGACCCAATGAAGCCTTGCCTGAGGACACTGTGATGTGTTCTTGGCAAGACACTTTACTCTCACAGTGCTTCTCTCCACTCAGGTGTATAAATGGGTACTGGTGAATTAATGCTGGGGGTAACCCTGTGATGGATGAACGTCCCATCCAGGGGTAAGTAGAGCACTACGAGCAGTCAGTGTCACAGGCAACCCAGGAGGTCAATAATGTCCCACNAATCAAAAGCTTTGGTGAAGGTAAGAGAGTACCTTGCTCTAATGAGAGGTTCCCAGTGAGCCGGTCCTGTCGTCATGTTAAATGCTCCAGGGTAAAATAATAATTTACAGCCTAAAACAGTAGGATCAGAGTGGCTAATGTTAAAAAGGCACACCTCCTTACATTCTACTACACTCCAGGAACTGCTAAGGACTTTGCAATGGTAAATTAACCACCAAAATGTTTAGTACTATTAAGACCTGACACTAAAATAAGGGTTTATTTACCTTGCTGAGTGTAAACTTGAGCCATCTCCGGAAATCTCATGTCATAACAGATTCCAATTCCTATTTTACACAAAGCTGCCATAAAAATAAACAGGACTTCAGACAAAATGATTACAGGCCAGGATAAAGACAACAACAACAAACTAAAACCATCCTCTAATTATTGAAAGCCAGAATAAAAACCACTTACAAAGTAGAGTTTTCTTTATAGCAAAACAAATTAAAAACAAAAAACAGAAATAACTGCTCCCTGTTGTTCAAAATTAGCTATCTTAATGGACGTAATGTAAAAATTTAATTAATATAGGAATACTCCCTTGTATTGTTTAGCTATAGTATCCTGTTGTTATCTTTTGTAAGAAGCATTTATGTAAGTAGCTTTTATTATCATTATCATCATTATTATTATTTTCTTGTATATTGCCAGTGAAATGTAACTTTTTACTTTGTATTATGTGTAAAATGAACTATAACTATGTTAATGTGTTGATGATGATTACAAATTGTAAAAAAAAGGGAAAAAAGTTTCTATTTTACATGTGTTCATCATTGTCAGCTGTTTTCCACTGCTCAGGACTTCTGATTCTTGAAAGCGAATTTTTCCTGGAACATCAATATCAAAGAGATGAACCTAAAACAAAATAAATGCAAAATAAAAACCTACCATGTTGTTAAACTGCTTGAAAGTTGGCTCGCATGACTCGCTGGCTTGCACTTTGTGCAGACTGTTACAGTAACAGTCTGCACAAAGTGCAAGCCAGTGAGTCATGCGAGCCAACATGTACCAGTAATCCATTTTGGTTAGCCTGAATAACAGTCTGGTTATGGCCTAAATAGAACCTGGTTAGCCTAAATAGCTTCCCCCTCCAGAACAAAAAGTTAGCTTAGTTAGCTTGTGGTTAGCCTAAGAGCCAGGGGTATTACTGGCTCCCATGGCTTGCTTGGTGGTTGGTTGCCCATTCTCCTCGTGCCTTGTGGCATATAGGGAGTGGGGGTTACCCTAAAAAATCCCCTATCAGCCTAACTAGCTCCCTGTTTAGTCTAGATAGCACTCTGGTTAGCATAAGTTAGCTTGTGGCTAGCCGATTTATTGGGGTTAGGGATCCTTGCTTGCATGTCTCACATGGCTCCCATAGTAAGAACACTCATTTGTCATTGCTGACCTTTCTGTGTTTAGCAAGCATGGTGCCATCAGGTCCAAATGAGGTGGAGGTGTTGTACAACTTTCCATCACTTTTTCTCTCGGGAATGGACCCTCCAATGATGTAACATTCGGTCTCTTTTGCAACAGATGACAGCATATTTGTTGATTCCCCTGGGATATTCTCTGCATAGTCAGCAAAATATTGAGTGCCATAGGGTGAGTTGAAACATTCCTAGTAAGGCAAAAATTATTTGATTTGCACTCAAAAACAAAATTATGTAAGTTAGTGAATTTTCATAATTTTTTACCAATAGAGAGCACTTTCCAGGTAGATGTGGATAGGTCTATCTGTGTGGGAGGGGGTGGGGAGGGGACTACAGGGGATGAGGGGGGGGGGAGGGAAAGGTGCATCATATTACAACGTCAACAGTTTGAACTTGGCAGACAACATAGCGTTATTTCTCACAAAGTTGTTATAGATCTGCCATGTAACTAGAACACGAAATTTCGATGCGAAATAGAATCTCTCTAAAGTGAAAGCAAAACCTACCGGAAGCGCGATAATTTTCGCTCCATTCGACGCCGCTTCTTTGATCTTGTCTTTCGCACGCAACAAATTCTGAGCCTTGTTTGAAGTTACAGCAAGCTGAACAAGCGCAATACGAAATTCTAAAATCAGAAAATAAAAGAAAGATGGAAACCTTACAATTTTTTTACGCCGTGCAAAGAAAATCACAAGAAACTGCAAATAACCTTGCTTACTGGAAGCCGCCATGTTTCTTTGTCCCATGACCATACGTGGCGTGTGCTCACGTGACTAAATGGTTTGTGAGCGCGCGAAATTCGTGTTCGGCAAGAATAGATGGCGGTACTTGCGACCACGTGAGAACACGAACACTTTTGATCTTTTTCTGGCAACGATGACTGCGTTTGTAGAGGGATGGGACTTTTTAGAGACCCTTGGTGAAGGTGCTTATGGCGAGTAAGTGTTTCCTGTCTTGACGCTGTTGGGATTGTGATCAAATGCAAGCTTTTGGTTATGAATGACTGGACGAGTTCGATTTCGTTTTCCAAATATTTCTAGAGTGAAGCTAGCAGTGAACAGAGAAACGCAACAGGCGATTGCTGTAAAGATCATTGATCTAGAAAAAGCTGCTGATTGCTATGAAAACGTCAGAAAGGAGGTTGGTGGCGTGAAGGTCGCTTGTGAAAGATGGATCAAACTGTATATTTTTTAACAAGCCCCTTTTGTTTACAGATTTGCATTCATCGAATGCTTCAAGATGTCCACGTTATTCGATTTTATGGACAGAGAACTGAAGGAAAGAAACAGTATCTGTTTCTAGAGTGCGCTGCTGGTGGAGAATTGTTTGATAGAATAGGTATTTAAATGTATTTATACCTTTGATTTTGAGTCGTTCAAATTCTCACCCTCCCCTCTCCCAAATTGCTGTTACATGAGACCCATTGAAGGGAAGGGTTGGGTTGGAGGGATGAAGGAGGCGGGGGGAGGGGGGAATGGGCATAACTGCATGAAATAGTGAATAGTGGAAGTGTTTGATTGTTATTTTGCAGTCCACCATCCACTGTGCCAATTTTGACCTACCCTGTTCCTAGTCCCAAGGACAGGTTCTGGTAAGACGGAACATAGAATGTCCGGATTACCAAACCCAGTGTTGCAAACCTCTTGACCACGTAATTTCCATAAATAATAAATCAGGGGTTTCATTTAGGTGGGGGAGTGGGTGGGCTCTGGGCAAATTGCCCGGCTGTGAGGATGATTTTGCCTGCCTGGTTTGACCATCTAGAGGAAAGTTTTTCTTATAAAGAAGTTCAGTTTAAAACATTTGCCTGACTGTGAAAACCAGTTGCTGAAAACCTTAATGAAACTCCTGATAATTTGTGTTCCCTCAACACTGCATCAAACATGGGTCACTATAAAATATGCCTCTAAAACAACATATACCATTGTTATTGTCTCGTATGCTATGGTATCTCCTTCAACTAGCTGGGACATTCAAATGTGTAACAAAACATTCCATTAACAATGTCCTCCATAGAACCCGATGTTGGAATGCCGCAGCACCAGGCACAGCGTTACTTCAGGCAACTTATAGATGGAGTGGTAAGGGAATTTAACCAATTTAGATAGTTTTGCACAATACTGAGCAGGCAGTGGTACCACTCAGATACTGCTCATTAGCTTTTTATTTGAATGGTCACGCATTAGTGTGTGCATTGACACTTGTCTTACTGGTGCATAAGACAATTTGTTGCATCCATTTGTTTAGGAGTACCTTCACAGACAAGGTGTGACCCACAGAGACATTAAACCTGAGAACCTTCTCTTGGATTCTGATGGTAAGATACATGGTTTTAAAAATACATCAGGTCACTAAAATTGCTGCAATTTTTACAAGAATTATTTTTGGATCATGTGTACTAAAGATATCTGTGGTTGAGTGCTGATCAATACCCTTGATTGACACCCTTCATCGAAACTTGATCAACACCTTGGTTGACACTCAATCAACACTCAATCAACATCTTGGTTGACAGTTGGACGAAAGTCGACTTACTTTCGTAGACAAGCCATTGAGTGTCAATTAATGATTAATTTTTGATTGAGATGTTGATCGAGTGTTGATTGACTGTTGATTGAGATGTCAGTCAAGTGTTGATCAAGGGTAGGTTGAGGTTATCGATTGACACTCGACTGCAAATGCCTTTAGTGTACATGATCTGAATTATTTTAAGATGATGGACTGTCATGAAGTAGATTTACTTATATGTCGATTGCTTTCTCTTGTTTACTGTAGATAATTTAAAGATCACTGATTTTGGCTTTTCAACTGTATTCCGCCACAAAGGCAAGGAACGCCCTCTGGGAAAATGTTGTGGAACCCCTCCATATGTTGCACCAGAGGTATAATAAAACATTAATAAAACTTTTAGTTGTTTGCTGTGTCCATTTCACAGTTCGGTGTTTTTTCATAGAGCCAAGCAAATGACAGTAAATTATGATAATCATAAACCTTAATTACAGAGTAATTTTTTTTTTTGTCTCTATGTTACATGTACTTTCTTGATACTTGTTCTGTTCCTTTGTAGGTTCTATCCAAAGGTGAATACAGAGCGGAGCCTGCAGACATATGGTCCTGTGGTATTGTCCTAGTTGCAATGTTGGCAGGAGGTAAATATATGATGACTGTTTGGAGCAAAACATCTAGGATATTTATGTACATAAAATGGAGAGTTTAATTTTGTAGTTTGATACATCCAGGGGTAAGGCTACCCCACCTTGATAGGATGCAGCAAGCTAGTCTGTTCCAGTTGTATTTTTGTGGACCAGTACCTATTTGTCATTTGTTGACCAGTACCTACCAGTACGCGAGTGTTTTACTGAAAAATAAACCATTCGTAAAATTTGTATGAAATGTCATCCTGGACTTGAATGGTATATTTTCCATATCTTCACTAATGAAGATATTGATGACTTCATTTCCTGCTTTTTCACAGTTGTTTGTGCAATTAACAGTCAGTTTGTCTATAATAATCAACATACATTTACATGGTAGCTTGAAGATATGAAAATTATTTATAAAATTACTTTCCACTGAACAGTTACTTATTTTTTGTTAAGACTTGTATGCATCCACAGTTGGGTGATTTGGTGCCGTCAGTCCCCAGTGGATAGCATTGTCCACCCTTTGGACAGCTATGGTCTGGATCCGATGTACATGCAATTATTGTCTTTGACTGAGAATACAACATAATGACAGTGCCTGAACTCAAAAGACCACAAACAGGATTTTTTTAAATTTGCAAGTGTTTTCTTTGCAAAGTAGGTTAGCCATAAGTAGATCTGCAAATATCTGACTTGATGTTTTTAACCATTACTTAGAACTTCCGTGGGATGAACCAACAAAGACAAACAAAGAGTACCTTGATTGGCTCAATAACAAAGTGAACAGGACACCATGGATCAAGATGGACTCTCAATCATTAGGTATGTATGATTCTGTTGTTTTCCAGATGATGTCCATGAAGCAGATAGAATCATACTTAAGCATGGCAGGTATGCAATGCGTGCACAGGGCAAAAGTGTACAAGCAGTTTGAATCCGTAGTACTAGGCTGTACTATCATTATCCAGTGTTAGTTATAAGCAAGTAACAAGAGCAGAAGGCACAATGCATGAATAAGCCTTTCTAGCTGTTGCCTTTGCATGTACTTCAGACTCTAATTCTTGGTGATGACCTGGCATTACAGTCACGCAATGCATGTTGATTGCCATGTGTGTAATTATAGTCCTATGTATGCACTGCAGACCTACGGTATTTGGTGATTCTGTAGGAAGGATGGGAAAGGAACAAATGAGGGGTTTAAGAATGTAAATATCCATTTCACTTCGCAGCATTCATTTTCTTTTGTGTCTGTGTAGCATTGCAATGATAATCAAGCCCAGTGGTAGACCTGGCTTAAGAAAATCATATTCAGTTAAGCTATGACTTTTTATCTTCTAGACTTTATGAAGAAACTTCTCGTTGAAAATGCTAAACGGAGGCTCACAATACAACAAATAAAGAAAGAAAAATGGTTTTGCAGGTATTGTGTTAATTGTGTTCCATAACTTTGTATTGTTTTCTTTACTAAAGAACATTTTCAATGAAGCAAATATAAGTTATTTGAAACAACTTTACATGATTTTTTTGGTCTCCAGAACATTATCATCAAGAAGTCAAAGAGATGGTAAGCATTTAAAATTTAGTCATGAATTGATTTCATTTGGTAAAACGTTGATTGTGCTGATATACAATGTACATTACGCATACCTAGATGTAAAAATAATGGTGTTTCCATTTAGGGTGTTCACCAGGAGACACACCCTCTGGAACAGCGCCATTTAAGAGAAGATGCACCGAGGCAGATGTCCTTTCCCCAGTACAACCTAGAAGAAACCGGTGAGTGCTTTACTCTGCTTTATAAAACACCTTGACCGATATATTTTATAATTCCTTTATTTCTTATTTGTACTAAGCATCTTTCACTGTCACTGGGTGTTGTTTTAGGGATCACATTTCCGCATCTCAGCCAGAACCTCGGCGGCTGGACAGTGGAATTGACAGTGGTGCTTTGGAGGGTGTGGATGATGAAGGAACAGTGAATGGGTTATGTTTCTCGCAGCCTGTCCACCCTGATCACATGCTACTAAGCACACAGATGCAGTCTACACCTGGTGCATCACAGGTGAGGTTATTTTGTTTACAATACACTAAAATTAATTTTTGTTTGAACTAAGCTACTGGATGGTTAGCTGATGTGAGTGAGGAGATTGCAAGGCTAATGTTTTGCAGAGTGATACCAGAACATAACTAGCATTATAGCCATCTCATCTATAAGTTCATGTCAATGTAGTCGGGTTTTTTTTAAGGGCCAAGCAGCCGGCAAATTGACCGGCTGGGAGGAAGATTTTGACTGCCTGGTTTGACCATGTACATGTAGAGGAAATGTTTTCCTACAAAAAAGTTCAGATTAAAAACTTTTGCCCGCCCGTGAAAACTAGTTGCCCTCTTGCTGGAAATGTTAATGAAATCCATGTAGTGCTATGGGAGCCAATTAGGTGACCTTCATGTAATTTTAAGTTTAACAGACACCACATCAAGAGATTACTACATGTACATGTATGAGCATTTAGCCTAACCTGGGACTTTGTGTTCTGTTCTTGGCAAGGACATTCAAATCTCAACGTGCTCTTCTCCATTCAGACTTGGAAGAGCAAATAATTTTTGTGGTGGGGGTGGAGGTAATACTCTGATGGACAAGCATCCCACCTAGGGAGGAAAACTCCTAAGCAGTAGCTTATAAGCTCTCAAATTGGAAATGACTTTTTTAAATCTGAACTTTCACATTTACCTTTCAGAATCCATTCCATAGACTAGTCAAGCGAATGACACGCTTTCACACAAAGAAAAGAGCAGACAAGACACTGTACAAGTTGAAAGCAGTCTTGGACACCCTTAAATATAATTTCACAGTAAACTCCCCTCGCCAAGTAAGATTCACTTTAGGAAGTATTTATTTTCATCTTAGCTAATTAATTCCTGCTTAAAAGATTTACAGTTACTAATTGTGATTTAGAATTTAGTGATAGCTCAATAGACAAATGAATTTGATGAAACCAGGTGCCTGACTGCTACAAGTGTAATAATCAGTAGTCTAAAAAACCCACAGAAATGACAAAATTGTGAACCAATTTCATATTAGTTTTGTGAAGAAATGCATTGCTGTTCACAGACCCTCTGTTTGGGCTTGGGTTTGTCAAGATTTGAACAAGGCAAAATGCAGAGCAAAGAAAAATAACTTGAAGAAAAATAATTCACAGGAGAGAAAAACTGTCTGTGGACAGACTAAAGGGAGTTAGTGTTATTATTAGCAACAAGTGCAACACTAGAAAGATAAACTAATCAACTTCATTGTTCTTTAGGTCACAATATTCACCATGGACAGGCGGCGTAATAAACTGAGTATTAAAGTGAACCTTATTGACATGAGTCCTCTCATGGTGGACTTCAGATTATCCAAGGTAAATAACTTTGACTTGTTTGACTGTTTCCTAGAGTGGAGATATCTATGAACTGTAATGTAAGTTTAGGTAACAAGCTCACTAAATGCTGACTGATTTTTTCAGGGCGATGGGCTTGATTTCAAACGTCACTTCCTAAAGATAAAGGCCCAACTCAAGGACATCATAGACAGATAGTATCTTTTTGCAGTTACCATGGTTACCACACAAGGTACTGGTGTGTTCAAAGACTGTCTAGTGTCGCAGCAAACCGAACAATTTATGTAAGCAAAGAAGTATTAATTAATAACCAACCATGTTTTGTTAGTACAGTATATATACAAATACAAATTTTAAAGTTAAAGTAATTTAAGAACTCAAGGCAAAAAAGTTAAAAAAATATGGATGCCTTACTGTTGCTGTTAAAGATGAAAATTGTTTGTAAGTTCTAAACCATAATTTGTATAAAACAATGTAGTACACAGCATGCACTGTGAAACTAGTCGATGTTGGGCACTATAGTTGTATGTAGTAGCTAACTCATCTGTTAGTGTATAAAATGCAGTAGAACTGAAGGGTACACAAGATGGCCTTTCATTCTTGTTCGTCTTCCTTCCCCTGGTCTTCTGGCTGAGTTACAATAGCAGAACAGACACCCTTCATCTTGCCTGCAAGCAGGCTCTTTGTGGGGCAAGGGTGAAGAGCCTGCTTGTAGGCTACCCTTCGTCGTATACAGGGCTGTTATTATGGGCCATATGCTTGATGATCCCTTGAAGCTACAGGTAAACTTGCCTGTGTTGAATAAAATTCACCCAGGAAGCACCAAGTTTGTTACAGCTGAGAAGACCAAGACAATGGGTGACTCACAACTTAATGACAGTCCTAATGCATGTTCAAAGCATATGAATCAGCAATTAATAAACATTGAAAAAAGGTTATCAAAATAAGTAACATAAAGAAGATACAAAAGCTAAAAAAATGTATTTATTATTTTTCTAGTTATTAAATGTTCAGTATTCAACATTGCTGTTCATTGAATTCTAACTTAAAGTATATAATTATATTACTTGACATTAATTTACAAAATTAATAACACTGTCCACTTGAAAGTGAAGTGACCCCTATTGACCACAAAACCAAACCACCATAACAACAACTTGCAGAATGACAGACAATGTACCTCATTACAAATTTACTGACAAACACAAGCCTTGTTAACTTTCATCTTCTGGTTTAAATAAAGTTCAATAAGCACTTTTTTGTTTCATGGTTTTCAATAACTTTGATGAAACCTAGCATCTTACAAAGACCAATAGTTCTGAAAGCCCTTTTTTTTAACAGTAGTTAATTTTCACTAAAACATAGATTTCTATGTTGTGTACAATAATAATTATTCTCCCTTTCAGCAGTTTTTACTGAATATTGGTAGAACAAAAACTTTCATAGGCAGTTTGCTTCACTTAGTTGTGAAAGTATTTTCATAACATCATAAAGGTACAGGTCATAAAAAGTTGACAATTCTTTCAAAAACAATGCAATTGTACTCAATGAAATATATTAATTTTTTTGTTCTTGATACCCTCATTGGTAACAAACAAACAAAAAAAAATTGACAGTAAGAATTATTGTAAAAATGTATAAAAGAACATGTATACATGTGTTTGCTTTCAGTATTATATCAATAATTGTTTGTAAAAAGCCATTGCATTTCTGTAGTCTAGTGCTGTTCTACATCATAAAAAAATCTCACAAGATGATAACGAATAATGAAGGCTACCATGCTGCCACAAACCTGAAAACAAAAAAGATAAAAGATTGTTAGCTTGGAGCAAGCTGCTTTGACACAGAAGTCTTTATTATGACAATATCTTATCAATGTACATTTACATAGTTGTCTACACACTATACTGAAGAAAACACACACTTTGACTCTGATGACTGCAGAACAATAGGCTACTCTTGATGATCTTAAAATTCAACTTTATAGTGAGACCTACATGTAAGGACACAAACAAAGAATTGAACAAACATGCCTGTTCAATTTCATTTGCTAATCTCCTCGCTACCAACCTGAATTTTAACATAAAATTATCGAAAGAAGCTTACTATTTTACACTTCCACTTCCTTAGACAAAAAACACAATTCCCATTGATCATCAATCTGCCATCAAATAAAAAAAGTAAACCAAGATTTGCCCCAGGCATGCAAACTTTGTGAGCTGCTTGTCTGAAGGGCAAGCTGGTTTTTAAGTTAACTTAAATTAACACAAGTTTAAATTTAAACTTGCCTGTATTCCCAAAATGATCAAAGTCAATGTTCTTTCATGTAAGGGGCCCAGTATTTTGAGAACAAAGTTCAGCAAAGTTAAGTTATTGACACGAGTTGATTCCTTATCCTCTCCCACTCCCATTTCCACATGAACTAATTTTAGATGACTGAACAATGACAGAAAAAGTTTGCCAAGTGGACGGAGGTCAGAAGTTTTGAATGTTGTGTAACTCATTCCAATGAAGCCAGTTTCTGGGTTAAACCTAAAGAGATAAAAACAAATCTGCAATTAATTACAATAACCATAAAGTTCTGAAAATAATTGCCTCTTAAAAGAAGTACCAAAAAATTTCACTTCTCTTAGCAAATCCCGAAATAAGCAACTTTCCAAAGTTGAAGTTTGAGTCCTACCCTGGAACACTGTACTGTGTTCTTGAGTCAAGTACATGTACAGCTTACCGTGATCCTGCCTCTCTTCACCCAAGTGGTAATTTTTTTTAAAAATTCATTTGTTTTTGCCAAGTTTAATTTTTTTCAATTTATCTCTACACTCACTCACACTGTACATTTATATTTCTGTAATGTTCTCCATGCAGTAAGGCAGAGGGTGTTATCTATCACAACAACAGATCTTAAAATTAAATGAAGTTAGCTTACTTTGGTAATCGATGTCTTGGACAAGGAATGAAGCGAAATAGTTGAGGTGTGGAGTAGATAAAGTTGATGACTTGTGGAATAAAGAACAGTAGCATTGTTTTACTGAAGTGTCCTAAAATCCCAACCACTGCAAATGTCATGCCTGCAAAGTAGCAGAATGTGTCCCCTACAAACACTTCGGAGGGATACCTGAAGAAGAAGAAGATGATCAATAAAATTAATTGTAAAGGATTCCATATATTTATAATAATGGTTAAGAACATTTTGAAATCTAACATCTTGACCCTGAAGATGACTTCTGCTCAGGTTGTCGAAACGTCAGTCACCAACAAGTTCTCTTCAGAGTCAGCCTCACTACAATCATGTTACAAACTAACATTCTGAGCCTGCCAATGAGCTATTTTTGTCCGAGTTTCACACACAGCTTTTACAGGAAAAGGACAAAGGAAGGACAATTTATATTAGCAAGGACAACAATTTGATGATGGTCGCTAGTGGACAGGGGCATGTATTCTATTCTTGACAAAAAACCCACAATAATGAAAACAAACGCTAGCAACTAAAGTGAGGTTAACTGTATCTGGTGGAAAGCACTGTCCATTGTTTGGAATGTGGTTGTGGTATGGAACTTGCAGAATACCAATGTGATCTTGTTAGGATGTACTTAGATCAAATAATATGAGAGTCAATGTTACATCTGATTTCTAAACACAGAGAAGAGAGATGAAAATATTTTTTTAAAATACATTTCCAAACATCTTGAAGGTCACCAAAGATACTCTGCTGCGCATCATATTTTTAACTCTCTTCTCGGCGTTTGTAAATGCGATGAAACATTGTCGGTTGCGTTTGATAAAATTACCTGAAACACTGTCTTGAGTGTTTATAATATCTTTTCAAGTGAAACTATGTAAAAGTAAGCTGTAGGTGGAGAATNCAGACATATTTACCTACACCTAACCTTAGTTTATGACCTGCAGGTCTCAGATTATGTCATTCTTTACTAGCAGATTGAACTTACTTCGTGATGAGGAAAATCATAGTCGCCTTTCTCAAACCATATAGTGAGAAAAGGAAAGGGAATAAACAGAAACATTGCAATGAGAAATACTGCTCCAGTGACAACTCCAAGACCTTCTGGACTGAAAGAAACAAAGTTAACAAGTAGCAAGCAATGAACTTAATGGTCTAATATATTGTTTCTAATTTATCACAGCCCAATCACATAATACTGTATGGGGTGCAAGAAAAAAAAAAAAGAAAAAAAAAAGCAACAAAGATGCCTCTAAACTGTCCTTTGAACATTTTTAAAATCTCTCTGAAGCTGGCTACTCCTCGAGAAACATGATCGTTTTTTGGTATTACATTGTACTTTCCATCAAGAGAAAACTAAAAGTCGCTAAAATTGAGAACAGTGATCTTTTGCCTCAGTATCTTGGCTCTCCATGGGATCTTTTATTCATTCATACAATAAATATTATGTATATTTCCTGGTGCCATGTTTTGCTAATAGCAGAACTCCATGCTCCACTTCTAAACTACAATTAGTCCCTCTTTCGCTTAGTCCGTTGTGTGTGACATGAAAGAAAGCCACAAGAAAAAAATGGCCGCGAGAACTCCTGGGGGCGAGAAGCATGCAAAAGGAGTACGCATTTCTCGTCCCCAGGATATCACGTGGCCATTTTTTTCTTGCGGTTTTCTTTCGTGTCACGCACGATGGACTAAGCAAAAGAGGGACTACCCGTAGTCTACTCCACAACATAAACAGACATACAACCCACAATCTTGCACTTTGCTCTGATGAGGGGCTACTGCTTGAAATGCCAGCTTCACTAACTTAATACTTACATGTATATCAGATTCAAGTGGATAAATAGTTAAATGTTTTACTTACATGTAACTGCTGACGTAGCCCATCAGTTTCCTTAGAAATGAATACCGGTACCTTTCTTTGTGCATTAATTTTATGATTGTTACACAGGATTTATAAGCATGAGACATACTGAAGTACATCATGAGTTTGGGTGCATAGTGTACCAGTATATGATTGTGGCCGTGCTACAAGCTTCTTGCTGTAAACATTAACACCATTTTAAAGACCCTTTTGACCCATTTGTAGTTTCAAGATCTGGGCTGTTTGGTTTAGAATTTTCAAACCTTTAGCATTTGATGAGAACAGAATGCACCTTTGCACAGAATCAGAATGTGTTGCTATCTACAGGAAAAAGACCGTCATATAGTGCATTCCACCTAAATTAATAGATTACACCAGGCCCCGGTTGTTCGAAAACTGGATAACCCTATCCACCAAATAAATCACTATCCAATTGATAAGTGTTGACAAAGCAACCCACACTACCCACTGGATAGTGATTTATCTGCTGGATAGCGTTATCCGTCTTTTGAACAACCCTGATTGTTCAACATGTAATTTCTTGTTGCAATGTCAGTATGTTGTCAAACAGAAAGCTGACGAGAACAAATAAAAACATCAACATGGGGATAGTGTTATGGACTAACAAATTCTCAGAACTGACCAAAAAAACCAATCGATAAAGAGACTTAGCAATGATTTGGCTCAGATGCGAATTTCACATGAATGTGAATAGATTTGTTTTGATTATCAAGCTAAAGGTCAATACAGCTGCGTAAAATAATTAATATTTTATAAATGACGTGAATTCTACAAATAAAAATGGCTGAAACAGTAAACAGTAATGTCGACAGTGCAATATGTTCACACTATACTTAAAAATACAATTTTTGAGTAATCGTATGAATACAATTAAGGTCATTACATGGAGTTCAGGCCAAAATAGCGAATCACCATGACACACGATTCAAAAATCAGAATTAAAAAGCTTACGTATTACATAGTAGTCTCTAAACCTCTGCACACTGATTTCAGTTATTTAGGGTCGTTATTACTATATGGTAATACAAAACTCCACGAAATAAGTGAGCGAACTTACATCATCTCCTTGCTGTCTTTCTTGTTCATGTCTTTCCCAGCCAATCCAGCTTTGGCAAAAAGGGATTTCATGCCCGAGATCAACTTCAAAGCCACTACAAACACCACAGTGGACATGACAAAATTTAAGACTAGAGGATATATCATTCTGTAGATCATTTTCGATTGTTTTTACAGATTATGGCGCTGGAAAAATCACTTTCATAGCAAGGCAACTCGAAGCTCCTCGAAGCTCGTAAAGTCATGAAGATAACCGCTGACTGCAGATCTGAATGGACCGCGGCGAACAGACGCGGGAATGGCGCGAGATTCCCGCGTTTAAACGTCATAACTGTTTCTAAGCAACGAATTGACTGACAGGTCTGATTCTCGTACCTGATTGGTTAAAAAACCATCACGGCGGTCTTCTCGTCAATTTTTTTTTTGCGTTTTTCTGCAGGAGACACGCGATTGTTTTCTCCTTGAAAAGAAAACAAAATATCCAAGGAAAATTATTTCTGAAGTTGTTCTGACCATCGAGATGGTCAAAGGCTTGCTTTCAAATCGTTTTTAGACGCGACGAGTTTAGCGTTTGAGCAATTTTAAGCGCACTCGTTACTTACAGAACTGTCAGAGAGTCGCGAAGAAACCTCGAACATGGCTGAACCTAGGACCATGCCGAACGGCAAGGATCGTCGCAAAAGTTCATTGAAAAGTGCGGGTAGCATCTCATTGGAACACGTTGCTGGCTCTAAAGCTGATAAACACAGAGGACGTAAAAGTATTGCCTCGCAATTTGCTCATCCACTAACTGGAGAAAATGTTAAGGAAAGACAGGTAAAGAAATTTGTAGGCTACAGAAAAAAAAGCTGTTTTAAACTTTTAGACTTCGACTTGTGCTGCATGTACCGCCACTCGTTACTTTATTTGCTTCAGTCTGGTAAGAAACGACAAAAGAACTTATTTTTCAATTCCAAAGTTCAACTTGGTATGAGATGAAACTCGTTTGCTTCAAAAGGATTCTGAATTTTTTTTTATTCAATGGAATTTATACCGTTTGTAGTTAAAAAATCTTTCTCTTTTGCTGCAGCAAAAAGCGAGGGAAAACCGTGAAGCTCGAAAAAGAATGATATCAGATGAGTACAGGTTTATTATGGGAATCGTTGGAAGCTATATAGATCTTGAAGTCTCTGCTGTTGAAGAATTTATTGTTGATTCGGATGAGGTAAGAAAAGTTTAACCAAATAATAATTAAGCTTAATTCATTCAGAGTTATTATATAAGAAAGCTTTATTTAACAAATTGACATGAGTTTTTAATGCGTCTGTCCTGTTATTAATCATGAGTTTCGTCATAACACTGTCAAAGTAAGTGGCGATAGCTGAGTGGACCTGCAGACTACTTTGACAATGTTATTGTTGATAACAGGACAGACGCATGAAAAACTCACGTCAATTCGATTTTTACATAACAAATTGTGAACTCGTCTGCTCTCGCTTGTCACTTCAAGATTGCAGAGATTATAAATTCACGTGTCTGTCCACTTATTGACAATGAAAATTAGGCAATGAGTGTGCAAGAATTTCTGCAGTTATTGTAAAAATTGTGTACTGACGGCAAAGCTGGCGCTGGAAAGGTAAGTTGGTCAAAAATAGTTTGTTATTTTATAGAGGTCTTTATAAATCGATCAATGTAAAATGCAGACTGCAGACTGAGGGTAAAATGAAGACTGTAGACTTTTTATCTGAATTGTGCTACCATTTCCATCATCGAGAGCTAATCATAAACAGGCTAACTGGAGCGTTATTTCTCTCAACCTGAGTGGTATTCTGTCTAACCAGAGTGCAGACTTTCACTGCAATGACCCTGAATAATGCGGTTTACCGTTACCACTCAATAATGTAAATAACACAACATATACTTAAAAAATCTGCAGTCAGCAGTCTGCATTTTACCCCTGTTCTGCAGTCTGTACTTTACCCTCAGTGTGTATTTTACCCCCAGTCTGCAGTCTACGGTCTGTGTTTCGCATTGAAGGCTTTATAAATACAAAGACAACTACAACAACAGCAACAACAGCTACAACATTACAGCAACAAGCTTTAGCTCTTCACAAAAGCAACATGTATTCTTAATGGGCTCATTGGTCATTACCACTTTGTCTGTTCTTGATTGATCTCTATTGCCTGTCCAATATTTTCCAAGCACTGGACAGGTTACTGCCTGTCCCAATTGATCTTGTAGGCTTACATCTTTCTTTTTCTTCCAACTTTCTTTTCCTTTCTTGTTTTTGAAGACTTCACATGTATGTAAGTACTCAGTAGGTTCTTGATCAGAAATTTAGGTCACGCTTGAAGGTTACCAAGGTCCAGTCCATGATCAAGAGATATCTTTCTTTACATCTTCACTTTT